ACCATATATACAGGTTCCCATGAGGAAAAAAAATCCATTTCTCTAGATTTTCATGGTTTCAACTACAAAGATAAGTTATTTTTTAAGAAACACAGGATAGCTTAGAATATATTACTGCATCTTATTTCCCTCTTGACAGTCTCTCCCCAGTTACCTTTTGTATCATCAGATCAAACCTATCAGTGAGGGTCTGCGCCTCACATACCCAAAGGCATCTCTGTCTTTGATTGTTCTCACCATTCCAGCATTGCAAACAATTTTCTGAAAACCCTGCTTCTCATTCATCAAGATTTTCATCTGTTCTTCCAGCCTGCAGAATAAAAGATAGGCTTGGGCTTTACTTACCCCAAGATAATGGCCATCGATAAACACAACAGGGAGTGAGGGAACTTCACAGACCCTCCTGCATCTTTCATCTAGTTCTTTTCCATAATCGCTGTTCAGAGCAATGTTTTTTTCTTCAAATTTAACTCTGTGATTTTGAAAGATCTTTCTAACCAGTTCGCATCTTTCAAAAGTGGTTCTCACCACACGAAGGCTGGTAGTATAAATTACTATGCGGCCAAATTCTGGCACAGTTGATACCTGGAAAAAAAAAAAAAGTACCAGTTACATTAAATAAACTGATAAAAGCTTCCAAGTATTTAGCAATTTCATTTAAATATTCAAGCAAAAATATGCATCTTGAAAACACAGTCTAACTTTTTTCAAATGTAAAGATGGAAGAGGAGAAACTAAGTTTTTGCAATCACCATCTTGAGGCAATTTAAGCAGTTTATCTAAAGGTGCAACGCTGCTTTTCTTGGAAAGTTTTGGAGATGGTGAATCAAGCCCAACCTTCTCAAGAAACAGATATATTTTAGATCCTGGTAGACTTCCAAATGTAAGTCATCACCTGTTTGTTGTTGCCCTGTACACAGAGTCATCCCTCCTTCCCCAAGCAGGAAAATACAATGTTGTGCCTTAATCCCTTCTCATCTATTAAAGCACAAATTCTTCAAAGGGGCAATAGTAACATGAATGTAGGTCTCCCCTGACCCTGTCATTTTTAGAGACATATGATTATCTTATAACAGTGACTTGTGTTTGTTGCCACAAACACATCCTGGTAGTACCCAGACTAAACTTGCAATGTCAGGTGCTGTTGGCAACCTCCTTTAAGAAGGGACAAGAGCCTAAGCTAAACTCCATCACATCCTGAGCCAACATTAACTTAGAATACTTTAGGTATCTCCAAGCTGAACTAGATCATGACTGCAGAAGGGAAAGATATATCCCTACTTTTTAGTGGAGATCCACATCACATTATTCTAACATCCAACCAACATTAAAAAAATCATGTTTTGTGTGTATTGAGTGTCCAATTCAAAGCCCAATGCAGCTAGGGGAGGCAGTTGCCTTGGCTGTAACAAGTTTCATACTGCAATTCAGATTTTACTTTTTACCCCACTTCTCCATATCTAAAAGTCCATGCTGCATCTTTCCTTCCTAGGATGAAAACAATTAGGGAGGATAAATGCTACAGGGACTCGTTTGTCCAAGAGAGTGGTACATTTGCAAAAAGCCTGAGAATCATTGCTTTAAAC